GGTTTAGAGTATACCGGACAATACATCACACAACCTTTGACCGGTTTAGAGTATACCGAACAATACATCACACAACCTTTGACCGGTTTAGAGTACCGGACACCACTTGAACGGTTTAGTCGATATCCGGTCATCACTTGACCGGTTTAGATGAACATCCGGTCAAGGCACAAGCGGTTTATTTTGTCCGGATTACAAATTCGGACAACTCTTGAACGGTTTAAACAAGAACTTCTCATAAATTATAACCAAAATTCATGAAAACCAGTTCCAAATGTTTATCAAACTGTATGTAAGCAATTCATATCCAAAGCTATTTATACACTCACCTTTTTGAAGTCAAATAACAAAGCTCTGAAATCCTCTTCCTGAGCAATCCTTCAAAACTTCAGAGAAACTTTCGAAATATGGTATATGCATGTATGTGTTTTTTCTTCACAAATTCTATATATATATACCCAATCCACAAAAAGAGAGTGAGGGGCGGCTTAATAGCCGACTCCCCTTTTCCTTAAAATAATACTCCCCCACACACACACCTTTATCATACACATACCTATCATAATATATCTATACTACATATATAACCATTTAGACCATTATCTTAATTACAACCCTTTAAGCACAAAGTACTGCCATTTTATGCATAAATTTCAAAAAACTCTTAAAGACAAGTCATAAAGCACAATGTACAACCTTTACTTTCACATTTCAAATTCAAAATTTAAAATCAAAACACCATCATTCCCACCACTTTTACTTTCCCCTTACTTTAAAACACCACCATCCCCACCACCACAACCAACACCTCCTCCTCCTTCGTTCACTCTCTCTTTCTCTCTGTAAATTGGTTCTAGATCTGCATCACCGGACATATATGGATTTGGCCGGAACTTCTCTCCGCCATTTCTTACGATTCTCTCTCTCTGATTGCTGATTTTCAACAAATTGTGCGCTGTCTGTGGATCTGATAACGAACTTCGTGTTTCCTATTCTTCAATCGTAAGTGTTGTTTCATCTCTTTTACTGTTTTACAGATTTTGTTTTCGTGCAAATCATGTTTTAGATTATTCGTCGTTTTTGGGGTTTAAATTCTTTATTTTCGGTTATCCGTTTGTTAAACGCGAAACAACTGGAATTGATTCCGGATTGGTGGAATTTCGCTGCAATCCACGTCCAAACATATGCTCGTGGTTTGCAAAATGAACGTGTGTACCTTTTTTTTCAATTTTATTTGCTTTGAAACGGCAGATTCTGAGCTTGTAATTTTGAGTTTTTCTAATTGTGTTTGCCTCTTTTACGCTGCCGGTAATATGTTCTACTCCTCCGTCGCTCTCCGGTGAGACATGGCTCAGCGAATGGTCAACACCGTCCACGACTGGTCAACCGTGAAGACCGTACTAGACGTCGGCTGTGGCCGTGGCATCCTCCTCAACGCCGTCGCCATGCAGCTAAAAAAAGAAGGTAGCTCCGTCCGAGTTGTCTGATTAGACCGTAAGAACACCACATTATCAACCCTAAGGACGGCAGGGATGGAAGGCGTGCAGGAGTACGTAACCTGTCGTGAAGGCGACGCGCGTAGGCTTCCTTTCCCTGACAATTACTTCGACGTGGTGGTGTCGGCGGGATTTGTGCACAAGGACGGGAAGGAGTTCGGGCAGAAATCAGCGGCGGCATCGGCGGAGAGGATGAGGGTGGTGGGGGAGGTGGTGAGGGTATTGAACGAGGGTGGGATCGGTGTGGTGTGGGACCTGGTTCACATCGACGGTGGAGGCGTCTAAAAAAAAAGGCCACCGAGAAGGGGCCATCTGTCCTAACTTTACAGAATAAATAATGATGGTGAAGTAGCCACTTTTTTTTTCTTTCATTTTGTTGGATGCACTCAACTTACAGCATTCTCACCTCTACTTTTGAGGAATAAAGTATCATTTATTATGGATGTTGGATTATTAAAAGTGTAGAATAGAAAATTATAGATCTATATCTATCTATACTATCAACCATTTCAAACAAACTCTTACATCTTCCATTCTTATTGTTATCAAACGAACTAAGAATGAAAGCCCTAATACTTCAAATATCTATTATTTAGGGGTTTTCCTTCTTATTTAGGGATTTTCCGTGAAAACGAGAGGAGCTCCGGTTGAGAGAAAAGCGCCTACACCGGAGAAGACCAAGGCCACGGCCAAGGATCCGGTTAGTTCAAATTTCAAAGTCTTCGTTCTTGTGATCCTTGAGTGTTAAATTGTACATTGAGGATTTCAGGAAGCAGTACAAAAGAAAAACACCCAAACAACAAATCGTTTGTTTATTGAGAAGATATTTTGTTTGTTTGGTTTATTTGCAGGATGAGGATGAGGATGAGTATGACGAGTAAGGGGAAACAAGTGTTTAGTATGTGAGGGAGGTCATTTTAATGGGTAAGATCCAAAATGAAAACAGCTCACATGCTTTGATAATGGTAATTTCCCTGCATGTAGTATATATATATATATATATATATATATATATATGGTCTAAATGTTTGTAACTAAATTTTAAAATTTCACCATCATCAACCAAAGTGAAATTTTAATAAATTATGGAAAAAATATAACATATCATTACAACAAATTCATATTTACAACGTAAAAGATTGTTTAAATATTATAAACTTGTATAACATTTTTAGACGTATTTGAAATAAATTGTGCAGTTACGTTTTTATTATAGAGCACTTCTTTTTAAAAACGATACTATATAACACTTTTTAGAAGACCTTTTTTTTAAATAACGTTATAATTGAATGATTCTATGGTCATTCTTGTCCGTTGAATCAGATGGGTATGCAAGTGTAAAGTGGGATTTGCAGGTTCATATATCATTGCCCATTAACCATTTAATTTAAAGATTTAAATTAATTAATTAATTAATGTATTTAATGATGAAACTCCTCCATCGACTGCTTTTCTCTTTTGCTTTTGCATTGAGTTTTTGTTTTTGCTTTTGATTTATGATTTTATGTATATATTTGTGCTAGAAGTTTGATGCAGATCAAATGACACTTGAGGAGCTAAACAAAGTAAAAGGTTAGATACAAATTATTGTTGCTTCATCCAAAGATTCTTCTTCCCAACAAATCTCCTTCAATTTTAAATTTATCTATAACCTTCTCCACTCCACCTATCTCCATCT